GTTCAGTGCCTTTTTGTGTATTTATTCAATTTTTGCATTTTGTCCTTAAAGAATTGTTTACTTCTGTTCTGTGTTAAGCAGCGTTTAAAATGGCCCGTTTAAAATGGCCCCCGGGGGGACCACACCTCTGGTATTCATATACTCATGTATTCTCTCTCCTTGAGTGTAAGCTAAATCTTAGTGATTTGTTTCTAATGAACAGAATTTGGCAAAAGTGATGGGATGTCACTTTCAGGTTTTTTTCCATTCTATCGTTTGTGCTTTGAGGGTCTTATTTAAGAAATCTTCTTGTTGTCCCCGAGATTATAAGAAAATGTTTTTGTTTTTTTCTTTCATTAGCTTAACCTTTTGACTATTCCATCAGAGACATTTAATCCATCTGGAGTTCATCTTTGTAAACAATTTTTTTTCAATGCAGTTAACCTTTTTCTTTCCCCCACCAAAACTTTTGTCTTAGTCAAGCTCAGACTGCCATAACAAAATACTGCAGATTGGGTGTTTTAAAGAACAGAACTTAATTTTCTCACAGTTCTGGAGGCTAGTAGTCCAAGATCAAGGTTCTGGTTGACTTGGTTTCCTGGGAGGATTGTCTTTCTGGCTTGCAGATGGCCAACTTCTCTCTGTGTCCTCATGTGGCCTTTCCTTGGTGTGTGTGCCTACACCGATGAAGAGATCTTTCTCTCTTCTTCTTGTAAGACCAGTAATCCTATAGGATTAGGCCCCCACATTTATGACCTCATTTAACCTTAGTGACCTCCTTAAAGGTCCTATCTCCAAATACAGTCACATTGGGGGTTAGAGCTACAACATATAGATTTGGGGAGGGGGCTGCCGAGGGGGAACACAACTCAGTCCATAGCAACTGTTAAATAATCCATACTTTCCCAGGGGTTGGTGGTGCCCCCACAATCATATTCTAGTTCATGTACATGTACTCTCTAGTCTTTTTCTGTCATCTCTTTGCCTGTCCCTGATCTGGTGCCACTCCATTTTTATTACTATGGCTCTATAACATCTTTATATACTTGCTATATAAGCAAGTTCTCCCTTCCATTATTTTTCAAAATTGATTTAGCTACTCATGGAACTAATGATTTCATATATATTTTAAAATAAATTTGTCAGATTTACTAAAACGTCCTGAAATATTTTAACTGGACCTGAATTAAAGTTGTCTTGAATTGAATCAGCACATTTACATGTTATTCATTCTACATATGAACACAGCGCAATCTCTCCATTTATTGAAAAAAAATGTGCCCTTTATTTTTTTTTATTTTATTCTATTCTGTTAGTCACCCTACAGTACCTCATTAGTTTTTGATGTAGTGTTCCACAATTCATTGTTTTTGTATAACACCCAGTGCTCCATGCAATATGTGTCCTCCTTAATACTCATCACCAGGCTAACCCATCCCCCCACCCCCCTCCCCTCTAGAACCCTCAGTTTGTTTCTCAGAGTCCAGAGTCTCTCATGGTTCATCTCTCCCTCCAATTCCCCCCACCTCATTTTTCCCTTCCTTCTCCTAGTGTCCTCCATGCTCTTCCTTATGTTCCACAAATAAGTGAAACCACATGATAATTGACTTTCTCTGCTTGACTTATTTCACTTAGCATAATCTCCTCCAGTCCCTTTCATGTTGATGTAAAAGTTGGGTATTCATCCTTTCTGATGGCTGAGTAATATTCTATTGTATATATGGACCACATCTTCTTTATCCATTCATCTGTTGAAGGGCATCTCGGCTCTTTCCACTTGCGTGCCCTTTAATTGAGTTTCTTGTTAAAAGTCTTTGCTTTGATTCATTCCAGGAGGCTTTATGGCTGGGTTGCTATTGTGCATGATACCCTGTCTATATTTTATATGTAGCTATTCCTGGTATAGAGGAACACTCTTGGGTTATTTTCTCATAATTTTATTTAGGCATGGAACAGTCATGGGGCTGTGCCACTCAGGTCTCTTTCAAGGGTACCTGCTCAGGGAGTATGGTTGCCTGGCATCCTCTGCTGCTACCACTCTGAATCCACCATCACATTCTTGCCTATGGGGGCCACACTTCAATGACTGGGCACAGCAGGGGTGATATTCTTTCTTTCTTTCTTACGGGGATGCAGACTCTGACTTGAGGTCTCCCTCTGCACCTAACCAAGACATTCTTAGAACCATGCTGATGTCTGAGAGTATTTTACCCAATTTACCTTCCTCTTCGCCTTTTGCAGGTATCAAACATGCCCTGCAGTGAAGATTCTCCCCATCTTTTTCTGTTCTAGTCCCTTTTCTCTTTACGGAGATTTCCCCCCAGTAAATTTCTATCATGTCTAATCTTGTTTTGGCTTCTGCTTCTTGGAAGACCTGTACCGAAACAAGGAATAATTTACATACAGTAAAATGCTCAGAGCTTGTTTACTGTTCCATGAGTATGAGAAATGCTTATTATGCCCCTATATCTCATTCTGCCAAATATATTTGCTGACTTAATTCTTTCTTTCAATGGTCATTAAAAGACCATTTTAATGAGATTCCTTAGGTGAATATATGGTTGCTTTATCTATTGAAATACGTTTTATAAAAATAGAGCATCCTTTTTGTCATATCTATGTTCTGATAACATTGCTACATTTTAAAAAATTTCAAATTTCTCTGATTTGCCTTTCTCCATCCCTATATTTTTAAACTTTTTATAGCCTTTTGCTTTAAGGATTTCTATTGTAGACAATATTACACATTAATGCTCTCTGAGTCTTTATATTTTTATACTGAGTTTGATCTATTTCTACTTATAACAATTACTCTTATATCTAAATTCTTAAAAAACCCTATCAGTATTTTTTTCATGTATTCTATCTTTCTGTTTCTTTTTTCTTTTCCTTCCCTGTTACTTGTCATTACAAAGGGGAAAATTAAACCAAGTATGGGTTTAGTAGTTATGAGCAACCACCAGGAAAATAAAATTGAATGTATAATTTCAAGCAAAAGAAATTTCAATCTATCTGATCACTGCTTTAAAATTTTTTAAAAGACTTTATTTATTTCAGAGAGAGAGAGTGCATGGGGGCAGGGGCAGAGAAGAGAGTCTTAAATAGACTCTGCCCTGAGCACGTAGCCCAACTTGGGGCTTCATCTCAAGACCCTGAGATCATGACCTGAGCTGAAACCAAAAGCCAGACGCTTAACCAACTGCACCACCTAGGTGCCCCAATCTGATCAATTTTAGTTACTGATTGCTGTGTATGTAAAATTTTTGTTTACTTATTTGGTTGTAATGGTTGCTGAGCTTTACAACAGTGACATTTACTGAGTTATTTATTTACACCTCTGTTTTTAGTCACCCTCCACCCCTTCCCCCAGTGTTTTTTCTTCTTGATGGAGCACTTCTTCTTTTTTTTTTTTATTTTATTTTATTATGTTATGTTAGTCAACATACATTACAACATTACTTTTTGATGTAGTGTTCCATGATTCATTGTTTGCGTATAACACCCAGTGCTCCATTCAATACATGCCCTCCTTAATACCCATCACTGGGCTAACCCATCCTCCCACGCCTTCCCCTCTAAAACCCTCAGTTTGTTTCTCAGAGTCCATAGTTTCTCATGGTTCGTCTCCCCCTCCGATTCCCCCCCTTCATTTTTCCCTTCCTACTTTTTTTTTTTAACATATAATGTATTATTTGTTTCAGAGGTACAGGTCTGTGATTCATCAGTCTTACACAATTCACAGCGCTCAACATAGCACATACCCTCCCCAATGTCCATCACCCAGCCACCCCATCCCTCCCACCCCACCACCACTCCAGCAATTCTCAGTTTGTTTCCTGAGATTAAGAATTCCTCACTGATATGAGGAAT